AGATGTGTTGCTCTCATTGGTTTAATAAAGAGCAAACTGGCCAATAGCTAGGCAGGAAGAGGTTAGGTGGGAGAGGAAGACTGAGAGAATGTGGGGAAGAGGTAGGGCGAAGTTGCTAAGAGACACGGAGAGAAGGAAGATAAACATGCCATGTTAAAGAAAGGTACCGAGCCACGTGGTAGAAGATAAATGAGAAATATGGGTTAATTTACATTGTAAGAGCTAGTTAGAAACAATCATAAGCTATTGGCCAAGCATTTATAATTAATAAGTCTCTGTGTGGTTATTTGGGAGCTGGCTGGAGGGACATAAACTTCCACCAACACAACTGTCCTCTGTCTGTTTGATGGCATTGGAGCTTGTGATCCACACAACTAAGAGTGGCCTGGACCACCTTCTCAGCTTCCTTCTGACCAGCTAAAGAAGCTCATTGACCTCAACTCCTGACACCTCAGTATCCTTGTGTCCAAAGTGGAACTACTAATAGTATTTACTTCATATAGTTGTGATAAGCATTAACCAGGATTATCTATGACTTTCAATTCTGTGTTCAAAATTTGTTCATGTGCTACTCCTCTCTCTTCCTGCCAGGTTCTCCAGCCTCATTTCCTTCTGTGCCTTGCACAATGTGCTCCAGCAAACAAGAAGGCTTTCTGTTTTCATCTTCACTTTTTGCATTTACATGTGCATAAAATACTATTCTGTGACTGTCTGTCTTTTATACCACAAGTTAGCTTGAGCTCCTTACAAATACCTTCTAGGCTAACTCCACTGCCTACAAGCTCTTTTAAAAAAAATTAATTTTTTTTTATGTTCATTGGTGTGAGGGTATCAGACCCCCTGGAACTGGAGTTAGAGACAGTTATGAGCTGCCATGTGGGTGCTGGGAATCTAACCCGGGTCCTCTGGAAGAGTAGTCAGTGCTCTTAACCTCTGAGCCATATCTCCAGCTCCCCTGCCTTTTTTGCCTACAAGCTCTTGTGTGAACTTTACGATGATTGCTATCCTCTGAGTTTCTTAGCTTACACCAGCTCTCTCCTGTTGAGCTGGAATCTTGAGAACAGAAGCCATCTCTATCTTGTACATCCTCACGTCACTGAGGCTTAGTCAAGGACAAAGTGGGCCTCGATAAATACTTGGAAAACTGAGTCAGGCTATGTTTTTGATATGTTCCAAGTGCAACAGCAGAACATGGCAATAAGGCCTCTGGAAGAAAGGCTCAATAACGGACTAACAGAACATGTATACCAAGACTGTGCTAACGTCTCAGCTTGTAAGTGTCTCATCATCTCTACTAGCAATGAATTAAAAGAGTGAAGTTGAATCATCTCTGAAAGCCAGCCCATTCTGGGGCTATGCATAGAGACACTGATGTGGGAGACCTATGGGGTCATGAGTTTGACTCTTCTTAAATGTCCATTTCAAAATCTGTGTTGTAGCCAGAAGTTTCTCAGTCCCACCTGGCTTCACAATCTGGATGAATCTCTCCCACCTACGGTCCCGCAGCCGCTTATATAATAAACACACAAAGGCTTATATTAATTATAAACTGTTTGGCCTATGGCTCAGGCTTATCATTAACTAGCTCTTACAACTTAATTCAACCCATTTCTAAATTAATCTATGTTTTACCGCATGGGTTTGTGGCATTACCTGTGTCTCATTACACCTTGCTCCTCCAGCAGTGCTCAGTATATCCCCTGACCTCACCTTCTTCTCTTGTCTCTCTGCTTGAATTTCCCACCTGGCTCTATTCTGCCTTGCCACAGACCACAGCAGCTTCTTTACTAACCAAGGGTAGCAACACATATTCACAGCGTACAGAAAGACCATCCCACAGCACTGCGTCGTCTTGATTGTATAATAACAGTGAGAACAGTGTTTAGTTAGCATGGAATGTAGCCATGTTGTGACTGTTGCTGGTGATTCTGAACTGGAATTTTGAGTAGGAAGTCTCCATGAAGGTGAAGTACATATTAAATTAAGCTCCAGCTTTATCTCCTTTAATATGAAAAAATTCAGGAGACAATTTAAATAATGGGAGGAGGTAGAAGAATAAGTCAGAAAAGGATCTTCCAGTTGGGTGGTGGTGGCACATGCCTTTAATCCCAGCACTGGGATGCAGAGCTGGGATGTGAGTTCAAGGCCAGCCTGGGCTACAGAGTGAGTTCCAGGAAAGGCGCAAAGCTACACAGAGAAACTCTGTCTCAAAAAAAAAAAAAAAAAAAAAAAAAAAAAAAAAAAAAGAAAAAAAGAAAGAAAGAAAGAAAGAAAGAAAGAAAAGAAAGAAAGAAAGAAAAGGATCTTTTATTTTAAAAGACTTGAATAATGTTGAATTATTTAAAATAAAAAATTCCCTGGTAACTCCAATGTATTGATAAGTTCAAACATATTTTGACACTATGAAATTCTCTTGGTATACCTATTTGCTCACTGTGTAGTTTAATGATTTATACAGATAAGGAATTCAAGCTGTCTTGGAAATCAACAGTTCAGCGGGAGCTAAATATCTAATAAAATGTCTTTATTATTTGATGTACAGAGTCTGAGAGTCTAATTCTAAGTCTAATATTGGCTTGTTCAGTATGCATCCAAATTAAACTGTAAAGATGACATAAAACCAAAACTAGGATTCAAATGATTAAGGGTGAAGAGGATGGAATTACATCAAAAGCTGTCCCTTTGGCAAACTGATTATTCTGATTATTCAGAATTGACTGAACAACAGATGCAGGATGGTATTCCCAACCATGCACTTCCTCCCTCCAAGTAGAATGTAAATCCAGGGAGAGAATGGAATCCTATTGATATCCTTATCAGTAGGCACAGGGAGTTGACACGCTGAATCTTGGGGTGGTGGTTTTAATGAGAATGGTCCCCATAGGCTCATATGTTTGAATACTTGATCCCCAATTGGTAGAAATGTTTGGGAAGGATTAGAATACGTAGCCCCCCCCACACACACCCTTGGTTTTTGTTTTTTTGAGACAGGGTTTCTCTGTGTAATAGCCCTAGCTGTCCTGGGAACTAGCTCTGTAAACTAGGCTGCCCTTGAGCTCACAGAGATCCGCCTGCCTCTGCCAAAGGTGTGTGCTGCCGCCGCCGCCGCCGCCGCCACCACCACCACCACCAACCACCCGGCCTGATCTGTAGCTTTTTTGGAGGATGTGTGTCACTAGAGGCTGGCTTGGAGCTTTCAAAAGTCCGTGCCATTCTGAGTTAGCGTTCTGCCTCGTTCTTGTGGATTAAGATGTAAACTCTCAACTACTGCTCCAAAGCCATGCTTGCTTGCCTACTGCCTTGCTCCATGCCATCATGGTCATAGACTCCTACCTTTCCAAGCCGTAAGCTCCCAGTAAATTCTGTGTAAGTTTCTTCGATCATGTGGTCTTACCAAAGCAATAGGATGATAACTATAAATAGTTACAAGTCTATAAAGGTAGTCTTACTAAAAATCATCCTTATCTTTTATGTCCCCCCCCAATGCAGTACATTGTCACTTTCCCGTAATTTACTGTCACCCAGCCAGGCTCCACTCGTCCATTTCCAAAATTAATTGTTAGGATAGCATACAAGTTTTCAGGTCTACTGGCTTCCTTAAGTCTGAATTTTTAATATATGAAGGTTCCTATGCCATGTAAAAATACTAACTTCAGGACAGGGGAATGTAAATCAGTCATAGAACACTTACTTGCCTAGCATGTGAGAAGCCCTGGGGTTGATACCCGGCCTGAAAAAGAAGGGAGGGGGAGAAGAGAGGGGAAGTCAGAGCAGGAACCTGGAGGCAAGAAATGAAACAGAGACCATTGAGGAGTAATGCTTACTGGCTTGCTTCTTGGCCCCCATTCCGTTTCCTTCTATGTACAGCCCAGGCCTGCTTGCCTAGGAATGGTTTCTAGTTATCTGGGCCCTCCCATATCAATGAGTGCCAGAATTACTGCTTTATTACTGTGAAGAGACACCAGGACCAAGGCAACTTACAGAAGAAAGTACTTGACTCAGGGCTTGCTTACAGTTTCAGAGGATTAGTTCTTGATCATCGTGGTCGGGAGCATGATGGCAGGCTGTTAGGCACGGTGCTGGAGCAGTAGCTGAGAGCTTATATCCTGACCCAAAAGCCAAAGACAGAGACAGTGCAGGGCTTTGGAAACTTCAAAGTCTACCCCCAGTAACATACCTCCTCCAACAAGGCCACGCCTCCTAATTCTGCCAAAATAGTCCACCAACTAGGGACCAGACATTCAAATATATGAGCCTGTGGGGGCCATTCCCATTCAAACCATTAGCAATCAAGAATATGTCTCACAGACATGCTTCCAGGCCAATCTGATAGAGGAGATCCCTCAGCTGAGGTTCCCTTGTGCCAGGGTGTCTGTAGTTTATATCAAGTTGATGAGAAATAATCAGCCAAAACCCATTTACTGTTTCCTTCAAATTTTTAATAAGATAAAATTGTTTGACTTGATTGAAGTCAATCGCTCTAGTTTTTTGTTTTTTGTTTTTAAATGGTAGCATTTTCCCTCGTATTTCAGTGAGTGAGATGAGTCCCCAGGAGCAACAGAAATGGCAGTCAGAGAGATGAAAAGCTAATGTTAGAGTCATCTGGCCTCTCAGGCAACTTCTACTTTCAATTGCTGCATACTCTCTTTCCTACATCTTTTCAAATAAATAGCCCCTTTATACTAAAATGTCTCTCGGTTTCAGAAAAGATACAGAGCAATTTCCATGCCATATAATTTTCTGTCAGATAAGCTCCCTGGGAAAGGGATTACTATAATCACGGTAGAATTGAATAGGTAGAAAGATGCTGACGATGGTTCACGGGGGCTGTGGAAAACTCACGAGCACCGAGTGTTAAGAGGGGTTTTGTTGAAGGAACCTTTGAGCAGTATACTCTTTGCTTTAAAAAGCGTAGCCTAGACAGTAGCGGACGTCTGATCCGAATTGTGATGATGCAAGGTGAGTAATGAACTTACATTTTGCTCTCTTCCATTCTTCAGAAGGAGGAGCATGGGGAGGTGGAGAGGACAGATAAGGAAGAGATGGAACTCCAGAGGACCAATGCCAATCACCTTTTACTGCGGCTTCCATTCCCCTTCTGATATATGCCTTCTTGCTGCCTTGGCTTGATACCTACGGAAATGAAGGTCTGCTGTAGGAGGGACATGGCGAGCGAGAACGGGCTGGGCTCCTGGTGGAGGCCTGTGGTGTCTCTCCAGCTCTGACATTGACAGAGGGACCTTCACCTGACCAGTTCATCATCAGTAAACTGGAATGATACTTCCTGTTTTATTGTCTCACATGACTGCGAGAAAGCACTCATCCGAAAACTTGTAAACAGATAACGGAATGGGCAATTTTAAGTACTTCATTAAAAGCTCCATCAGGTGAATTCTTTTATGATAATTTTTCAACAATTGGTGATTTAAGGGCTTTCATCAGGACCACTTGGGATTTAAGATAAGAATATGGCTTCCTGGATAACCAGAACGGTATCCCATTAAGATAGTTCTAACCTGCTCCCTAGTGTTGCAAATGCCTAGTCCAAGAAACACCAGTATAGCTTGGTAGTCACCCTACCGACACTGGAGAAAGTGGTGTCCTTGAGTGACAGAGCCTTTCCAGTCTCCGGTGGGCTTAACTCGGGAGGTAGTATCCTGGAAGCTCATGGTTACACAAAACTTCCAATGTTTCTGAGCTCTTGTCTCATAAATTTGAAGACTGAATTTCAAGGACCATGGAGAGGGTGGTCTTTTAGGAAGGATTTTGTTATAGGTTTGTTGATGGGAGCCTAAGAGAAAGAGTGAGAGCCAGAGAGAAGTGAGAGACAGCAAGAGACTCCCTGAGGGGCAGGGGGTGGGGGGGAGCACCTGTGTAACATAAGCGGGGTTCAGAGATGGGGTGTCATTGGGCAGCTGTTCTAGGAACCCTTCATGGGACCTAGGGTGGCAATGATTGAGGCTCAGTGCAAGCTAATCACTCACTCCACTTGGCCTGCTGTCACAGTTTGCTTTCTGTTGCTGTAATGAACACCAAGACCAAGAACTCCACGGGAGGAAAGAGCTCATTGAAGGTTGTAGTTACAGTCCATCATCTGGGGACACCAGGGCAGGAGCAGAAGGCAGGAGCCTGGAGGCAGAAATGAAGCAGAGGAAATGATGGGATGTTGCTTACTGCCTTGTCCCCTTGCTTTTGTTCAGCTACCTACCTGCCTAGGCATGGTACTTCCCATAATGGGCTGGGCCCTAATACACACATTAGCAGTCAAGAAAAACGCTCCCACAAGTATGGCTACAGCTGATTTGGTGGAGGCAGTTCTTCAGCTGAGGTTCCTTCTTTCTGGGTGACTCTGGGTTGTGTCAAATTAAGGGGTGAGGCTAACCATACCACCCGCTGAAAAAGTGTCCACTTGCTTTTCTCTAGCGGTGGGTTGTAGAGCCTCTGGATGGAATATTTCTGGCACATCTGGCCTCTGGCCAGGGCAGAATCAAAACCAGGATATGAATGAGTGCTGCTGCCTGGGATGTTTCTGGCATTCCTGGCCAAAGACAACAATCAAACAAAACTGTTTGTTTTGCAGGTCCCTGTCCCTGTCTGCCTGATCTGATTCTATCTCTTGTTCTCTCCATCTTAAGAGGTATTCCTTACTTCCTTTATGGACTTGTGGCAATGACTGATGTGGCTGCTTTGAGCTGAGTTAGGTATCCTGGTGTGGCAGTTGGGGCACCCCTCCAGTGGTTCTATCTAAGGGACCTCAGAAGTGCATCAGCGGTGGTATTTGTATAAAAGCCAGGTGAAGGGAGGAAATAAAGTCTTTATCTGGCTAGAGATATGTGGGAGGATTAAAGGCTAGAGAAAAATCAGTGAGAAATGAAACTGAGCCCTTTGGCAGAGATAATAAATCCATCCTGCCAGGAGCAGTAATGAGTTCATATAAAAGGTTAGCATTACAACCCTAGGCAGAGAACCAGGAGAATCCAGAACAAAAGACAGTTTAAAATACCCAGAGCCCTTCAGAATCCCTCCATAGGCTCACAAGGACATCCACCTGTGTCTGGCTTACTGGGCTCCTCCCCAGGTTTTTTCCTTGTCTGATCTCAAGGGTGATGGACCCAGGATTTACTTTCAGGCATGCTGATAGCTGGTGAAGTGGTTAGGATTGCAGTGTGAAGTCCCTCCCACATGGGTAATAGGTTTTCTGCTCTTCTGCCCCACTCCCAATGGATTTCTCTGCCAAAGCAATAAGCCAGATCAAGCCTAACTGAAAAAGCAGGTATATTTGAGCAGGGCAACTCCTGGGCGGGTTCTCCATTCCTAGAGATTGAGGCCAGAGAAGTCATGCCCCCAAATGAAAGCAGGGAGATTTTATGGGTTGTAGGTGAGAGATGATGACGTGCCACCACAAGCTGAGCAAGTTTATCTTTGACTATGCTTTCTTATTTGGTTTTGAAGACCATGCAGGTGACTCATTTTTCTTTTTACTGTCAAGCTCAGTTGAGGCTGTTGACTTCAGGAGTGACTTTGGACGTGAGAGGAGCTTTCCTCAGTTCTACCATCTACTGGAATTAGTCAGGGTCTTTCTGACTGGGTTTCCCTTAGCAGCAGTGAGGACACTTCCTTTTGTGTTGACTCTTTTCTTTGCAGAATGTACACTGGTAGAATCCAACCTCTGGGTCTCCATGGCTTCTCTGATCAAGGGGACAGGTCACTTACCAGAGTTGTAGAACCCCTTGAGAGGTGACTTGTAGTCAGTTGCCTGTGACCTAGTTGACCCTTCAAGGCTAGGGACCTTGCTATTGGCTCTCCTTTTAGTCCCCGTATACACAGAAACCTTCTAGCTTTGTTAGTTGAATACACAAAGGAGAGTAACTGTGGTACTGAAGTACAAATCATGTTATAAAATTAAATACAGTTTTACCAAAACAGTGGGACTAATCTTATTTCCTTCATCCTTCCCCTGTAACATCTCAGTCTCGTGTCTGATTCCAGGAGATAGGGCTAAGATGCTGCTCCTCCTGTCCTACCTCGGTGTAGCTATATTGAATAAATATCTGTCCTACCCTACCACCTCCCATTTGTCTGGAGTCCTAAGGATGGAGGTAACCCAGTCTGGTCTGTTGGAACCTCCCAGAGTCACAAGTCTAGCCTATGACACTGGTGGAACAATGGTAGGAAATTATAGTGATGGGACAAGGAGATTATGTGAGGAAATGTAGAAGTTACCAGACTATAAAGGGTTACTCTGGAATTTGTTTAGTGAGGTTCGTCTAAGTTTCAGTTGACAGTGAGTAAGGCTAATTTCCAGACTCAGAATCTGAAGGAAGGTCTTAACTAAGAGAATCTTTGTGGTTTGTTTTTCATGAAAAGGAAGACAAGCCAAATGGCTCTCTCTGCCTCTCTGTCTCTGTCTCTGTCTGTCTCTCTATATCTCTCTTTCTGTGTGTGTATGTTTGTGCATGTGAGATTATGTGTATTTGTGTTTGTGTATGTGCACATGGGTACTCACTCACATATGTGAAGATCAGAAATAGATGCCAGCATCTCCTTCTCAGTCTCTGTTTTGAGACAGTGTCTGTGCTAGTCAGGGTTCTCTATAATGGCTGTCACCTTACAGAAAAGCCAAGGATCTGGCAGTTGTTTAGTTCATGAGACTGGCTGTCTCAGCTGTCCCCACTTGGTGCTGGAGTCCCAGGGAAGTCCTAGAGAGCTGCTGGTTTTCAGTCTACATTGGAATCCTGAAGAAGTAGGTTCTAACACCAGCAAAGGGATGTCTGGGGAACAGGATAGATGAACATGCTAACCAGAGTGAGAGAAAGCAGGTAAGAAGCCAAAAGCTTCCGTCTTCTGTATCCTTTTATGTGGGCTGATACCAGGTGTGCCTCAGATTTAGGGTGGGTCTTCTACCTCAAATTATTTTACCAAGAAAAACTCCTCACACTTGTGCCCAAATGTTTGGGTTCTAGTTAATTCCAGATGTACTCAAGTTGATAACCAAGATTAGCCATCACAGGGTCCTTTACAGAACTGGAAGCTTACTGACTCAAAAGGACTATCTAGCTATGGGCTCCAGGATCCACCTGTTTCTGCCTCCCAAATGATGGGAGTACAGGCATGAACTACCGCACCTGCCCTTTCATGGACCCTGGGGATCTGAATTTAATACTGACGATTATACAGCAAGCATTTTGTCCACTAAGCCATCTCCACAGCCCTCCAAATGACCCTTTCTGATGATCCTATTCCTCAAGTGATTTTGGCATGAATTGAAATAATTAATATCCTAATTCATCCTAATTTGAAGTAATGCATCTTTAAGACTTGGAAGGTAATTTTATTTCAACTGAGGGGTTTATTGAAATGTGAAAAACAGCTCTCAGAAAATTGAGAAGGTAAGCTTCTGGCTTGCAAGTTATGCCTTTAAGTTCTTTCAGAGCTACGACCGTGGAAAAAGCAAGAATGAGCAGCAACTGTGGGGTCTACAGAGAAGCCCATGTCGTGTTATGTCTGCAGCCCTGTTTAATGGAGGGTACAGCCTAACTTAGCAGCATAACTGTGTGTCACCACGTAGATAGTGCCCTAATTTAAAGAAGGATGAGTCTGTACCTCATAGAACCAGCTGGTAACTTTTTCTGATTATGCTAATCAAGCAGCCTGATCTACACTAGTTTTACTGAACAAGCCCTCCGTCCATAAAGGGCAAGCAGTGGCCATTCAGGGGTTGGCCACTGGACTTCTAGCCCATTTCCTGTCATCTTGAGAAGACTAGAAAGCTAGGCTACCTCATCATGGCTCACTGGTTTTGGAAAAGTTCTATAAGCAAATTCAGTCTTATCAAATTAGATACAGTCTTTCTGACATTTAGAAGGCAGAAATGAACAAACGAGGTTTGTCACAGCAGTGTCCTAGTGCTCCTCCTGTGGGTAGTTTTATGTCAGCTTGACACAAGTTAAAGTCATCAGAGAGGAGGGAACCTGTGATGGTTTGAAAGAAAATGCCCCCCCCATAGGGAATGGCACTATTAAGAGGTGTGGCTTTGTTGGAGGAAGTGTGTCACTGTGGGGGTGGGTTTTGAAGTCTCCTATGCTCAAGCTGTGCACAGTGTGGCACTCAGTTTACTTCCTGTTGCCTGTGGATCAAGATGTAGAACTGTCTGGTCTTCCTCCAGTACTATGTGTCTGCATGCCACCCACCATGAAAATAATGGACTAAATCTCTAAACTGTAAAATTAAAATGTTTTCCTTTATGAGTTGCCTTGGTCATGGTGTCTCTTCACAACAATAGAAACCCTAAGACAGAACCCCAATTAAGAAAATGTCTCTAAGAGATAGGGCTACAGGCAAGCCTGCAGGGCATTTTCTTAATTAGTGACTGATGGGGGAGGGCCCAGCCCG